TCCTTCCCCTTGCCACCCCCCTGCCTTGTCCTCGCTGGGTGTCGCCTCTTTCGACTGACCGGCCCCATGGTCGCCTCTCTCTCTCTCTCTCTCTCTTCCCCCCCCGCCCAAAGAGTCCCTCACGGTCGGTGATCTGGTCATGATCAACGGCCTGGTCCTGCAGCTGGCACAGCCGCTGAATTTCCTCGGGACCGTGTATCGTGAAACGCGCCAGTCGCTGACCGACATGGAGGCCATGTTCGGCTTGCAGAATGAGCCGATCAAGGTGAAGGACGCGCCGGACGCGCGGCCACTGGTGCTCGGGTCGCCGGTCGTTGCCTCGACTCCTGGGCTGGCTTCTGCAGCGGCGGCAGCGGCGTCCACGGCCTCGGGCGAGGGCGGGTCCATCGAGTTCCGTGATGTCACCTTCGGCTATGGCCGGGCTGATGGCCGGCGCATCTTCGAGGGGCTTTCCTTCAAGGTGAAGGCTGGCGAGCGTGTGGCCATTGTTGGAGCCTCCGGCTCCGGGTGCGTACCTCTGACTTCATGTTCTTCTGTCTTTCCCTCCTTCCCTGTTGTTTCCCGCTGTTGGTGTTCGGATTGCCCGGGCCGTCTCTCTCTCTCTCTCTCTCTCTCTCTCTCGCTCTCGTTCTCCCCCTGACCTCATCCTGTTGGAATCCCTTTGAGCAGCAAGTCCACCATCCTGCGGCTCCTCTTCCGATTCTATGATCCCACTTCCGGGGAAATTGCCATCGATGGGCAGCCGCTGAAGTCGGTGACGCTGAACTCCCTGCGCCAGGCCATCGGCGTCATTCCGCAGGATGTGGTTCTGTTCAATGACACCCTGCGCTACAACATTGCCTATGGCCGGCTGGACCCGCCGCCGACCGATGAGGAGATCGATGCGGCAGTTCAGGCAGCTGCTCTGGGCCCGGTGGTGGCGGCCCTGCCCAAGGGCTTGGATACCATGGTCGGCGAGCGCGGGCTCAAGCTCTCCGGCGGGGAGAAGCAGCGCGTGGCCATCGCCCGGGCCTTGCTCAAGCGCCCGCGCATCCTGCTGCTGGATGAGGCCACCTCGGCCCTGGACACGGTCACCGAGCGGGATGTGGTCACGGCGCTGGCCAACTTCGATCGGCAGCCCGTGCCCGGGGCAGCGGCGGCTGGCCTGGCATCCACCGCCAGCCGGGTGACGACGCTGGTCGTGGCCCACCGCCTGGCCACGGTGCGCGATGCCGATCGCATTATTGTCCTGGGCCGAGATCCGGAGGATCCGCCCGAGACCGGGGCCCGGCTCCTGGAGCAGGGCACCCACCGGGAGCTGGTGAGTCTCGGGCCGGATGTCAGCCACTATGCGCGGCTCTGGGCCGCGCAGCAGAGCGAGGCGCAGGAGCTGCTGCAGGACGGCGATGACCTGCTACTGCCGGAGGACGCCGGGACGGAGCGCCTCTCCACATAGACGTCACGTGACAGGCCTCGTGGCACGGCTTGCGCGTTGCTCCTTTTTTCTCTTTTTTCGTTCCATGCGCGCTGGGGGGGGGGGGGCGCGCTGCGGGGGATGCTGGCGCCGACCTGCGTGTGCCCTAGCATGCGCCGCTCCTCCCTCGCCCATTGCTCCAGCTTGGATGCACATGCAAAATACATTTCATTCACACATCGGCCAAATCGGTTTTCCCGGGTGCACGGTCGTGTCCGCCGCCACACCCCTGCCCGGTGCTGTGCAACTGCGCACACATACACGCATGCTCGGGCGGATAGGGGGGGCACCAGGGCGCGGGCGGCGGGGCCCCCCAATGTATGGCTCTCCTTGCGTGCGGAGGGTGGCCGGTTTGGAGTCTTCTCTTTGTGCGGACCGTGTGTGCCCTTGCCCGCTCTCCACATGCGCGCGTGAGCGTGGCCCCG